TAAACGATAAATTAATGGTACAAAAGAGAATGTCAAGAACAAATTCGGTTGGGTTCGGTGGCTCAGCCTGCAATCCTAGCACCTTGGGAGACTGAGGCGAGTGGATTGCCTAAGTCCGCCGGTTTGAGACCCACCCGGGCAACTTTGCGAGACCTGGTCTCTACAATAAAAATCAAAAATTGGCTGGGCGTGGTAGTGTGCGCCTGTAGTTCCAGCTACTTGTAAGGCTGAGGCGGAAGGATCGCCGGAGCCCAGCAGGTTGAGACTGCGGTGGCTGGGAGCGTGCCACCACACTCCAGTCTGGGCAATAGAGTGAGACTTCAACTCAAAAAAAAAAAAGAACAAACTCAAATACAATTCTGTCTCAGTATATGGCAAAGGGAATATGTCAAATCAGTGGAGGGAAATGTATTATCCAATGTATTATTCAATTGTGTTGGGAGAGCTAGAAAAACTAAACTTGAATTTGTATCACATATTTTGTACCAGGATAAATTCTATACAGATCAGAAGTATAAATGGATAGACGGATGGATGGATGGATGGATGGATGGATGGATGGATGGATGGATGGATAAAATAATTTCTGATACAAACTACAAGAATTTCTTATAAAATTGTTTCATAAAATCAATGTCATGATAATGACACAAATCCCATAATTATAGAGGCATTTAATAAATTTTTACCTTGAATAAACAAGTTCTGCCCCCCACACACAGTTCTGGAAGTCAAAAACCAACACAAACAAACTGATAAAACAATAAAAAGGGGTAAAAATATTTGCAAAACATTTTCCTAGCATAAAACTTCTAACAAATAAATAACAGGCAAAAAGAACAAAACATATGAACTGGCTAGAAGACAGAATTAGAGAGCTTAAAGATATAAAATATATTCAGTGGTTTCTTCATATGAGATAAATGCTCAACTACACCAAAACACCATATGTGTGTGTATATATATATATATACATATATATATATTTGCTATTAGATTGACTATCAAAATTTGATTGTATCATTGGCAAGTACCTTACAACAGGCATGTGTGTACATTTCTGGTGAGAATGTCAACAGGTACCACACCTTTATGGAGAAAAATCAAACAATAATCCAGCACACATAAAATAGCTATGTCCTTGACTAAGCAATTCCATTTCTAGGAATTTATCCTTCATTTAAATTGTAGCATAGTTCTTGAATAATATTTTTAAATAATTGAAAAGATTAAGATTCCAATTGATAAGGAATTTCCGTTAATTCAATTAATTTGGAAATTCCAAATTTCCATTAATATGGGACTAATTAAAAATGTTTAACATCCTATACCATGGATACTATACTGTACTGTCTAAAATATATAACTATAATAAAGGACTAAACTATTTACATACTAATATGTAATAACTTCAGAGATAAGTTCTTGAAAGCAGAAAAGTGCAGAGTTATAGGATAGCCATTGATATGTTCTAAACTTTCATAGATATGAAACTGGTTAAAATAATATGATAGGTCTATGCCATGGAATATTACAGATGTATATGCAATGAACTTAGAAATATGGTAATTGAAGAAAAATATATTTGTTTTTTAAAAAGTGATAAAACTACTTAAACATGTTTGCATATATACAAAATACCTTTTGAATAATACACAAGAGACTGATAACATTTATTCATTCTTCCAAACAGCACTAAATGACTGAGGGACCAAAAGTGAGACCTTTTATCCTATACATCTTTTTTTTTAAAAAAAGATAAGGTTTCACTCTGTTGCCCAGGCTGGAGTGCAGTGGAGCGATCATAGCTCACTGCAATCTTGAACTCTTGGGCTCAGGTGATCCTCCTGCCTCAGTCTCCTGAGTAGCTGAGATTCCAGGGGTGAGCCATTGCTCCCTGCTCTTGGCCTACAGTGTACCTTTGTTTCTTTTGAGCTTTGAACTCTGTGAATGAACTGCTTATTGAAAACATAAATAGTGAAATCATTAGTTGATTAATAATAAATAATCTATTGACATTTACAATGATTAAATAAGATACTATAGTTTAAGTACTTAGCATAATGGCATTTAGTAAACAATAAATGTTAGCCATTATTGTTAATTTGGGTTTAATATGAGGTGTAAACATGAGAATATAGTTGGATTCCATGATAAGAGGCCACAAATAGATGCTATGACATATTGAATACTAACTGCTCTACAGGCTTAATGGGGCATGGAACAAAGTGATGAAAAGATCATTAACTTTGGAGCAATACAGACCAGGTTTATATTTCAAGGTGGAAAACTAATGTACATTTGACTATATCCTATAGGGGATTTGACAACTAGGTACAACTTACATAAAGTGCCTGGTATTTTCCATGACATAAAAGGAACTTGGTTCATGGTGACTACTTGTAAAATTCTAAAAATCCTAAAAGTATTTCCTTGACATCGGAACTAAGATGTAACTATTAAATATAAGTGCAACTATCTTATGTTGAAAAATAATGAAAATAAACTTAAAATTTATTGGGGAAGAAATTTTCTATGTTCTTCACATGTGAAATTAAGTTAAACTGAACCAGAGACAAAGCAATAAAGCATATAAATAAACATATACATATATGTAAATAATATATAAATATATAAAAATTATAAATAAAGCAATTAAGTATCTAACTGCTCTCTATCCTGGGGAATCCTGGAGTAGTACCCAGAAATGAAACAGATGTTTATCAATCACACAGAATGAGAACTATTCCAGGGTATAGGTTATAATCTCCAAAGATGTTTGGAAATGGTTTTCTTAATTTCTCTGTGATCAGAACTTTTTGGAGAAAAAGATATAAAAACAGATACTGAGTAAATATACTCATTGTGTAAGTCTTTTGGGGGGGAGAATATATCTTTTGTAAAAGTTTACTAGAAATTATTTTTTTTAGGTTGGAAAATATAGTTTATTTAGAAATTGGAGAGAGAGAGAGAAAGAGAAGATTCACTTCCCCAAGGTAAGAGAAGGGGGCCAAAGCTAGGAAACACGGTGGCCACAGCTCAAAGATCCACACGGACACATCACAGCTTAACAAAGGAATGGCCAGAAATCATTTTGCATTGGTCAAAAAATTACTAATAGAAACATAATCTCGAGTATTATTTAAATGTTTCCTCCTCTAAGCAAGAAAAAAACCAGTGACATTAAATAAAAATGACAATAATGGATTTCTCCATGTGGGCTTTGAGTAATGGCCTTGAGTGAGAGAGACCTGAGGAGCAGCCTTCTGATCAAGGAGCAGAAAGAGAGAGGACAAAGAGTCTGAGTTTGAGTCTCTGACTTGACCTTGGACCATCTCCCCACCCCAGATCTTAAACAACTCCTTTGACTCATATACAGAAGAAGACAAGGTATGGCGGGGGAGGGAGAGGAGAAGGACATCCAAGACAGTCCTTTAACAAAACATCTGTTGCAATCACGTCACTTTTCAGGCAAATTCCTGTACTATTACAAAAGTGTCCAGGCTTGGAAACTGTATTTGATGCACAGCAGCCCTTTTCAAAAACCAGTATATACCTAAGACCTTCAGCCAGTTCCTATTTATGCTGACAGATTCACATCTCAAGCACTCAAAGAGTGGACTCTTTGGATTCAGGACTTTCTCTAAAACCAGGGAGCTTCCTCAGCTGATGGCAGGCACAGCCCAGGCCAGAAGTGCAGGAAATTAAGGCTCCCTGGGGTACCAAACAACCAATGGGGCATGAGTACTGAGAATGGATATGATGGGTAAATGCCCCAAGTACCCATCTTTGAGGAGATCATGCTGAGATAAGTTCTACATTGTTCTTGAATGGTTGGAAAGCAGAAATGACTAGCTAAATAATGCAGACTTGATTGGCTTGTCTTGCTTCCTGTCTTATTTCTCCATTTTAACTCTAGCTTTCTAGGATCCACTTCCTAACTATCTGCTTGTACTGAGGTCCTTGTCTTGGGTTCTAATTTCAATCTCTAATGAAGACAGGATCAATTTGGACTAACAAGGAGAAAAAACAATCAGTTCCATTTCCTTATTTCCTTTCCTGTTACTCTAGGTTATAAAGCTTAGGGTTTTGTTTTTTTAAGTTCCTGGTTTTTATTATTCAATTTAAGTGGATCGTATTATAGAAAAAATGAAATGGGGAGAGATTTGATGTCAAGAGTCTATATTTAACCATTCTTCACATCTAAACAGAACTTGCCAACTCCTAGTACATAACTTCAAATAGAAATTGTTATGCACCAAAGATACCACTATATTATTTTTGGTAGTTAAGGCTGTTTTACTCAATGAATAGCCCCTATACTTGTTCATAAGACAATAATCTTCTTGGTTTTGGGTCAGAAGTAATATCAAGGATCCTTCTCAAATAGAGCCCTTCTGGCTCTTGTAACCTGAGCTCCAAAATATAGCAGCACAACCAAATATATAATATACACAACAAAAAATAAGTTCATTCAATACTAAATATTATCTTTAAAAGGATCAGCTAGAACAAGGAATATATTCTAAGTAGAATGAGAAGCATATGGGCTTCTAAATTATATCATGTAAGGATTAAAGGAATCGGGACTATTCATCCTAGAGAATATGTCTTAAATGGACCTTCTTTTCAAAAGAATTATATCTGTTCTGACTAGCATTAGAGAAAGAACCAGAACCAAAGACATGTGTTATAAGGAAAACAACTTGGGCACAATAAAAGTAAGACCTTCTGAGCATCAGAGCACTCCAAATATGGAATAAGCTACCAGTGATGACATGCAGATCCCTATAATTGAGAATTTTTAAGCATAATCTAGGTGACTAATAACTCAATAAAATTATAAAAGAAACGTAGGTTTTGGATGGAAACAGTAGACTAAATAGATTTTAAATTTACTTCCAGTTTGTAGAGTCTATGATCTGAAACTATTTAGCTGATTTAGTTTATTTAAAAACCTGTTAATTTGACAAGTTATCAATTATCCATTATTACCATACCTTTACAACAAAAAGAACACCTTCATTAGTTGTTTTGTCTGTGCTGATTTTGAAGTGTCCATTTTCATTTCCCTTTAAAATGGTAAAATTGGCTCTCCAATTGGCAGTGTTAATTAAATCCTTATCATCTATAGGTATTCGTAAGATTTCCACATTGAATGCATTTTCCTCTACTGATGCTTCATACTGAAACAGAAAGAACCCATTGAAAATTTACTTTATAAAGAGAACTTGTACAAAGAAAGCAAAATGTTTCTTCCACTCCAAAAGTACTAATTCTTATAATTTTACATAGATTATTTAAAAACTACAAATTACAAATACTATTCTTTCATTAAGGATTGTCTTTTAAAATAAAGGAAGAACTTCATTACAAATGAAGACTCTAATGTTACTGACTTTTAACAAAAGAAAAATAATGTAAGTATTCATAAGTATATGCCTCAAACAGATTTGTCATCTGTTTAAACTTTAATTTTATTCATAAAGTAAATATATGTACTTTAAACTATAATAAATATGTTATTAATTCAGATTAACAAATGGCAATAGACAGAGCAGATATACATCTTGTTACTTACAGCATTTTGTCTAAAAGTGGGTGCATTATCATTTGCATCTTTCACTGTTACGATACAAGTTGATGTACCAGTCAATCCAAAATATTGACCATCCATGTCTTGTACTTTCATTATCAATGAGTACTTGTCTACAACCTGAAAACAAAGCAAATATTTAACTAGTCTTGAAAAAAAGTGATTTAGGTTTATAAGTAAAAATCTTAAATGCACCCTCTTCTATGTGTGTGCATCCATGCTTTTATGTGATTTCTATATTTGCATTTAATCTTGGAATTTAGTAGACAAAGATAAGGTTGAAAGGTAGGCCGAGGTTAAATTACAAGGAGTCATACTAAGTTCAGACTTATGCTTTAAGTAGCAAGTAGTAGGGAAAAGTTTTATGTAAGTCACAGGAGAGTACAAAATAAGAACATCTGAGTTTTAGAACAATTGTTTTTTGTTTTTTTTTGAGTTGGAGTCTCACTTTGTCACCAGACTGGAGTGCAGCGGCCGCTCCTGGCCACTGCAGCCTCGACCTGCTGGGCTTCGGCCATCCTTCCGCCTCAGCCTTCCAAGTAGCTGGAACTACAGGTGTGCGCTACCACGCCTGGCTAATTTTTGATTTATTGTAGAGATGAGGGCTTGCCAAGTTGCCCAGGCGGGTCTCGAACTCGCGGGCTCAGGCAATCCACTCACCTCAGCCTCCCAAAGCACAGGATTACAGGCTGAGCCACCGAGCCTGGCAGAACAAATATTTTTAAAGAAGTTTTAGCATAATTTGGAGTGAGCTAAGCCAGGAATCAAAGCAACCACGTTAAAGAGCCCCTACGGCAATAGTCTAACACAGGTGGTCCAAATCTGAGGCAGCAACAATGAGGACAGAGACAAAAGGTGACAGGACAGTTACTTGGGAGTTAGAATGAAGTAGGACTCTAAAGGAAATTCGATATACAAATTAAGAGAGAAAGAGGGACTTGGGGATGATTTTCAGCTGTCCCACTTGGAGAGACAGGCAGGTAGCCAACACAGGAAATTCACAAGGAGAGACAATTCTCTGAGGACGTGAACACTACTAAGTGGGAAAAGAGGGGTGAAAATATGATGTTTGTTTTGTATATGTTGAATTCTATGTGCCTAAGGGAAATCTAAGAAGTAAGGCTGAAAAGACACTGGAAAATGTGTCCTCATACTTAAGGGAGAGATTGTGGCCAGAAATATTGATCTGGAAGTCATCAGTATCTAGATGGTGGTTGAAATTATGGCAGGAATCAGGGGATTCAGGAGAGGTTACAGGATGAGAAGAGCTGAGGATATAAGGATCAACAGCACTTCTAGTAAGGGGAGAATAAGAAGACTCTGTCTGGGTCACTAAAAAGGAAAGATCGAAGAATTAGAAACCCATGGGAAAAAAGAGTTTCGTCAAGCATCAACACTAGACAGGACCTAAGCTAGCTGCTGGATTTGATAATGGAGTTTTGCAAATGGTGAACTGAAGTCATTAATTTGTCGTGCAATCATCTTTGCTGCCTTTCTCTTTTGTCTTACTGTTCTTTAGTCATGCCTTTTTCTCTACCTTTTTCCATTTTTTGTTTCCGTCTGTCTTTTCCCTTGATCTTCATTTTACTTAATCTCCCTTTCACATTGAAAACCAATATTCCCACCCTAAAATTCTCCTCCCATACATAGGCTTCCAGGCTCTGATATTTTTTCTTCTTCTAAATTCACTGATTATTTATCTCCTATGTTCATTTCTTAACTTCTGGTGTTGTCTCCACCCACTCTCCCCCATACTCCACAACACTCCATGGTGGTTCCTCACAAAATCCTAGTAGACTTAATTTTTTTAACAGAGAAGCAGACTAGGTTTTATCCCAAAACTTTATCTTATAAACTGTGTAACTTTAAATTTAATTTTTTAAGTCTCATTCCTAAAAATCTGTTAAGCAAAATCTGTTAACTTGGGAAGTTGTCAATTATTCATTTGATTACCACATCATCTCTACATAAGAGGAGGTGCCCCCAAAACCCCAGAATTAATTTATAAAAAACTGTGTATTTATTCTTACATGCTTAAACTTTAGCACCTTCAAAGCACTCTCCGTTTGATGCAATACACCTATTTAGATACTTTTTCCACTGCTCAAAACAGTTTTTGAACTCAACAATTTGAATGCCTTTTAGTGCTTCTATCATTTTTTATTTCACCTCTTCCATGTCGGCAAAACTTTTCCCTTTGAGGACTTTTTTAATCCAAAGAAACAAAAAGAAGTTGCTCAGGGAAAGATCAGGTGAATAGAGAGGGTAGGGTATGGAAGTCATGCCATTTTTGGTCAAAAACTTCTGAACATTTCAGCGTGGTGTGGGCACTTGTGGTCGTAAATCACCCATCATGAAATGGGTACAAGTGTGGAAAGAATTTCAAAAAAAAAAAAAATCACTGAAGCCAAACACAGCCTCTCACAACAACGCTGGCCAGTACACTGATTCTGATAGGTGCTTAGAACACTTAACTAGCAGAGGAAACCTGCACTACAAGGGGCCCGCCCTCCAAAAATAATTCCAGAGTTTTCTGGATCTTCCTCATACTCCACAGATACCAAAACACATTCATATTGTTTCCCTCAAACTTTTCCATTATTATTATTATCCTTATGTGTTTAATATAAAATGCTCTGGCCCCACAAAGATAAAAATAACAATAATTTAAAACTTTGTACTAATTTTGATTCCTTTTGTATGGACTCGCACCATGCCTCCCTTTTTTGTTGGCATCAGATCCCATTAACTTCTTTCTTATAACATCTTTTCCTATCATATCAGTTCATCTATTTATGGCATTCTAGTTGTAGTGGAAAACACTGAAATGTTCCCATAAATCTATTTGGTACCTATGAAATTTTGACTCATCTGCCTTACTCAGTAATGCATGGCTGTGAGTTAAATGGAGACTGACAAAATGTACAAAAACAATAACAGGAAAAGATTAGAAGATTCAGGGCAGTAATTTGGCTTGAGCAAGTCAATCAATCTTTCTGACTGTCACATTTCTCCTCTACAGATTGGATGTAACACCTATCTAGTCAAACAAGGAAGTTCTAAGGATCAAATAAAATCATGCATAAAGAAGCTGAACATAAAGTGTTATATGCATGGTAATATGCTATTATGATAATAAAAATTGTTACATATTTTTAATAATCCATTAATTTTATTCCAACTAATCCTTGCCCAACTAAAAGCACGTATATCTATAATAACTGGGTAGGAATCAGAATAGGATGCACACACATGTAACAAGCAGAACTAATTGTCCCACATGAGACTTGAAACTTTTACTGAACTGGAATCAACTAACTACACATAAGAAAAAAGTAATGTTCAATAGTAACAATTTTTATAAGAAATATATTTCTTTTTGACTCATCTGCCTGACTCAATAATGCATGGCTCCATGCATGCACCACTCTTAAACACCAGTCGATCTCTATTTCTATTTTATTATGGCTACTCTTACATATAGAAACAATTTTTTAAAAAAAGAAAAAATATCAAAACTTCTCATTGTCTTATGCCTAAAATGAAATACTTAACACAAGATAGCAAATTATAACAAATTGGGGTGAAGTGCTCGATCCCCAGTGAAACAATATTCTACGGGGTGTGCAACCTACTTCTCTGTCCAAATAATGCGAGACTGTGGTGATTACGCCTGTGCTGGGATGCACAGAAAAGAGCCCAGGTGATTTTGGAGTCTGTTCCAAAATGCTGTACTTCAGGCGGGTATGCATCGTGTCTGGTTCATCTCTGTCTGTGGCCGAAACCACTCCCACTGTAGTGCCTGTGCATTAAGGAACAAAAAGAGACCTTAATTTCCAGAACAGCAAAATATATTTAGAAGGATCTACATTTTCAAAATTCTAACAATGATGGTGGAAATCTAACTCAGAATTCATTTCTTGCCAGAGGCATTACATCTTTAGATAAGATCAATGAAGATGACTTCAAAGTTATCAACAAAACACTTTGATGCTGAAAACTAAGGTATGCTATTATTTTGCTCACTGCTTAAAATGTTAGATAATAAATCACTAAAAAATAATAGTTAAGTGACAATAAAAAATAAGTTCAACACCTCTTCCCACATATTCTACTTACCCGGCTAGAGGAATAAACCTTAAGTCTCCTAAGTATAATAATTCAGATTTTTTTAAAATATGGATTTTTGATGAATTGCTAGATCAAGACCAATTCAGGTTATAGAGTAATTATATAGATGGCCAAGTTTATCTTCAGTAACCCAGTCTCTCTTTCCTATGGTCAATCATTTTTGCTTATCCCTGATTTGACTCTCTCTCTTTCAGCAGCTTAGTATCACAGCCTTAACTGGTTTCCACCTACTGATGTATTCTGCTTAAAGTACACTGGGCTAATCTGGGCATCCAAATGTTTGTCCTTTATTTTTCTCTGTTACTATCAAAGATAACAAAATCCTCAAGAAAGAGTCTGAAACCTATTACCCCTTTTTGAAAAACAAAAAACGTAACAGAGTCATAGAATTGTGAGGCTAAAACATTACAGGTCATGTAATGTAATTTACTTCTTTTACAAGTAAGAAAGTTCAAAGGAACATCCATGAGTTCCCACAGTGAATTAATAACAGATCCTTCATCAAAAACTAGGTTTCTCACACAATAGTAACCATTTCACTATCTATATGTATCCCATTATAACACATTGTAAACCTCAATTGTAAACAATAACATTTAGGGAAAAAAAACCAAAAAACTAGGTTTCCTAAACTGCAAACTAATTTTTTTTATTTTTCAATTGTACCATGTGAGTAATAAAGAGATTCACATCAATGACATCAAATAAGCAAAGTAAAATATGAAAGGGAAAAGCATGTATAATAATGCCATCAAGGTCTAAGTAACTACTGGAAATCTTAATAGGCAAGTTAACAAAGTCATTCTTTATGACTGAATCCATGTTCTTTTAACTTCATTGTACGTGGAAATTCTCCATACTGCAAGTCTCAGAAGCTATCACGAATGCCACAATTAAGGGCCAAGTAAAGTAAAATACTTTCTCTTTCCACATGTGAAGACAGGTGTCTAAGATGGAGAACATATGATGTAAATTTCTCTGAGAATATTTCAGCATTAATTCTAAAATGAAAGTAGCGAGGTAGTAGTTTTAAGGAATATAAATAAGAGCTTTAAAAATTTGTATCCTCAGTGGATGCCATTTAATACTTTCCTAAATAAAAATAATACTTTCCTAAATAAAAATATAAACATATATATACTGATTTTAGTTTCATTGCTCATTCTACCCTGCATGTCCTCTCTTGGAGGTGAGAAGAATGAAAAACCCACATAATGAGAAAATGAAATAAAAGATATAAGCAAAATATTGCTCAAAGCTTGAATAACTAGTAGCTGTCTTTATAGTTCATTAGTACCATACTGACAACAAAAACTTCTGAACTATCTGGTAAGGTACATACTGATTGGAATTAATAGAATTAAATGTTTTCTGGTGTTCTTAGGATGACCTGACCTTGAGGATAAAAAGTTCAATGTGTCAAAAAAAATACACAAACATATTTAAAATGATTATTTTTCTTCTTAAAAGTGGACTTACCCAATCTACTACTTTCCAAAACTTCAAAATTAAAAATTTCTTTCGTGAAAACAGGGTGGTTGTCATTTTCATCCTCTATTCTGATGGGCAATGGAAGAGGTAAGTCTGCTGAATATCCATCTGCAGTTGATGCATAGGCAATCAACTGCAAACCAGGAAAAAGAAAGTTCAGTAGTCCATTAATATCAGATTCTAGCAAAGGAGAAGAAGATGCTTTATCTACCTCCTGCTTTGGAAAGCTTTTCAATAATAAACCACTTCAAATATTTTTATTGGATGCTTTTTTAAGTTATCAAAGCATCAAATGGAGAAACACTTTACTGCAAAGAGTATCCAGTATTTGATGGAAAAGACTACTTCAAATAAAACCTAAGTCAGAGTACAACAAAGTCAGAAGCCGGGCTCAGTGGCTCAGCCTGTAATCCTGCGCCTTTGGGAGGCTGAGGTGAGTGGATTGCCTGAGCCCGCGGGTTCGAGACCCGCCTGAGCAGCGAGACCTCATCTCTGCAATAAATAAAAAAATCAGCCAGGCGTGGTAGCGCGCGCCTGTAATTCCGGCTACTCAGAAGGCTGAGGTGGAAGGATCGCTGGAGCCCAGCAGGTCGAGGCTGCGGTGGCCGGAAGCGGCCACTGCACTCCAGTCTGGGTGACAGAGTGAGACTCCAACTCAAAACAACAACAACAAAAGTCAGATATGACTCTGTTCATTAGATTGAGATATTAAGTGTCAATATAGAGACTGTATTATAATCCTTATTCTCTCTATAATCAGAAAGTTACCTTGGGGAGAACAATTGCATTCACTGCAATAGGGAAAATCCTGAGTATATCTTCTAAATATAGCAACAATTCCCAATCTTGTTCCTATGAGTCTTTTTATTGTTTTACCAATATTTGGTTTGTTTTTTTTTTAACAAAATGTGAAACATTTCCCCAATGCTCATTAATAAAAGGTAAGTCAATGTATATAAAGTTTATAAATGTATCAAATGTAATAAAATGTATCTACTCAATGCATGATTCCAACACTGAATTGAACATTTTCTAACCAAAAGCAAAGAACTTCACATTGGAGACATCATGTTTGCTTATCCAACATTTTTCTCTCTCTTCTAGGAACAGAATCCCTCTTTCCAATGAAGAGTCATTCCCCCTGGACCACAGGAATAAGACATGGCCCCCCAGCATCTATCATATTACACTGAAAATTGCCTACATTATTCCCCATTAATCACAAGCTCGTCCATATCAGAATTCTGCTTTCTTAATCCTTATGTAAGTCTGGTATCCCACTTTCACTTCCTTATCTAATTCTCAAATGTGATCAGAGAATCATACACATAGAAGAAACAAAAACAGCAGTTAGAACAGCAGAGAAAGAAGACCCAAACAGAAAACTGTGGACATGTCCTAGAGAAAGGAAACCGAGAGACTTATAAGCAAAGCCAATTGTCTGGAAATTTACTGAAATGTACAAATTAAACCTCTTTGCTTCATTTCAGGCTTACCTAACAGGAGTTGAGATAAAGAACTGACCAAGTATTCCACAATATTGCACATTCTATTTTGCCTTGACTTTAAGATACCCTCTGAGAAGAGAGTGCGAGGAGACAGGAAAGAATAGATGGAGTGAGTATCAGGAAGAATGTAGTTTAATCATTTAAAGTCAGGTATATCAATAAAACTCCTACATCAAAAACATCATATTCTTCACGGTCCACAGGCTGGGTGCAATACAGATTTCCAGTGTTTCTGTCTATATAAAACAAATTTAAAGGTTCTTGGTCAACTCCATGCCCACTGATTGAGTAGAAAATGGTATAGTTCTGTGCTGCATCAGATTGAACCTGAAAGGGAAAAAAAAAGTATGAAAAAAATTAAAATTAAATTAAGTTAAAATGACAGTTTTAAAATGCAGATGATGTATTTATACATATATATATATTTATACTTTAAGAGATTATTTTAATAGAAAAGATGGAAAAGAAAATAATGTCCATTGTTGGCAAGAGAGAGGCAAGCAGGGACACTCTCGCACACTGATAAGAGAAATGCCAATTAGAATGTACCATAGGGAAGGAAACTGACAAAAATTAGAAAAATGAATTATGAGGGTAAACAAGGAAGTCTCTCCCTGCTAGAGGAAACAGAAAGTACAAAGGAACAGGCCAGGGCTGTGCCTGGAATGTTCAAGGAGTAGCATGGAAGCCACTGTGATTGAAGTAGAAAGAGCAAGGGAAAAATAAGTCAGAAATGAAGAGGTAATAGAAACCACATCATGTAGGAGAATTTGTGGATAGTTGGCTTTTCTTTGGAGTCTTATGGGAAACTACTGGAGAATTTAGACAAGAGTAACAGCATCTGACTTATATTTTTAACAGGTTATGCTTGCTGCTTTGTTAAAACTAGACTTGGAAGGGTGGGTAAGAGAAAAAGCAGAGAAAATACTTAAAAATTTACTCCAAAAATTCAGAGAAGAGATGATAGTCTGCTAGACAACATGGTAACAATAGAGGTAGTGAAAATTCTGAATATAGTTAGATTCTGGATATAGTTTAAAGGCACATCCATCAGAATTTGCTAATGGTGGATGTGTGGTATAAAGGGCGAAGTCAAGGACTTTACGTCAGAGGGTGCTAGTACCGCTTAATATCTATTCTGCCCGTCATATTTGTATTAGAATTTATAGCTAAGCACAAGATTGCCCAGAAGAAAGGCATTTCCCAATCACCCTTGCAATTTAGGTATGTCACATGTAAAGTTCAGGTCAATGAGATGTGAACAAAAAAGATATGTGCAAGATCCAGAATGTGCTCTAGTGAGAGACTATATGGTTTTTGGACACAGTGGTGAACCATCTTAGAACCTGCAGGGACAGTCACACTAAAAAATAAAGAAGCCTGGATCTCAAATGTTTCCTCAAATTAGAATTTTTTTTTTTTTTTTTTTTACCAGATCACAATTTAAAAGAGAGAAACAGGCCATTGCCTTGTTAGATAAATTCTGGTATCTCCACGTGGCTCCTTGAGCTATGGCTGCCATGTTTTCTTAGCTTTGCCCACTCTCCAATCCTGAGAAGGTGAATCACCTCTCTTTCTCACTAATTTACTTTCTAAATAAACTATATTTTCCAATCTAACTTTTGTGCAATTCTTTGCATCTTTTGTGTGGCACCAGATTGCAGACACTAGTAACCTCTGGCGGGCTGACCTAACATTTGGAGGCCCTGCTGAGATATATTTTAACATAGCATTTTTGGAGGTCCCACCGAGATTTACTGCACTCTTGTTCTGTCTTACTCTTTTCCAACCCAAGTCTCTCTTTGTGGAGAGAGACAAAGTGCTTGAATTCTTTTCTCTGCTACTCACTCTTAATTGTATCACCCATAATGAGCTACATCCAACAGACCTCTCCCTGTTGCCTCAGCATTGTCTGGTATGCAACTACATCATTGCTGAGTCATTAGAGGACACCTGGGTGCCAACATGGAGAGCTGTAGAGCCAGAGGACCAAAGAGGCATATCAATTGGCAGTCATCATTAGTGACAAAACTCCAACTGCCCAACAGAGACTGCGCAACAGAGGCCTCTCTAGGGTGGAGTAAGGAACAAAAGCTTCAGGAACCACACCTACTCCACACCCTTCTTCTGAACTGCCTGCAGACCGAGAAACCTGCAGGGACATCCTCATATGGACTAAAGAGCTCACTGGTATAACAGTAAAAACTGCCTGGCCTTCTGCAGTGGATGTCAAGTCAATGGGGTAACTATAAGTACATTTTACCACACATCAAAACCTCAATATGTCATAACAGCAGCTATAATGGCCTTTGTTACAGTAGTATTAAATCTTTTACTATACACTTGTACACATTGCTTTGTATACAGATACTAAAGATACTTAACAATTCCATTGCCTCCTCTTATTTTAGACAGGGAGGGACATCTCTATGCCCCTATACAGCAAGAAGCAGTTACAGAAGACTGGCTTTCATCCCTGTTCTCAGGTACAAATAAGAGTATTTTATTTTAAAATAACGAGAGGAAAATGAAAGGACATAAGATGGAGTCAATATACCCAAGTAACATCCATTTTAGCATTGCCTAAATCTCATGGTTTTCTAACAATTCACTTAACTTACCCACTAATAACTAAACTAAACGAAACTGGTTTCTCAGAGGTAGCTAATGATAATTGTTTTACACTTCCCTTACCAGCTTGTTTTGTACTAATTAGTTTTTCTATTTCAAATATTTGTCTACACTCATAAGATCCGAGTTAACCTAATCAACCCTTGTGACCTTTGTGGCACAGACCCCATCACCATGGTAACAATCATGTGACTAACCTACCCATCTATCCGCTGTCCATCACCTGACATCACTGCCTAGGCTTGCCTGCCCTCTGTGATGATGTGGAGCAGACCACCACCCAATCACCTTAATGACCTGCCCCCATCAAAGGAAAAGTTTAAAAGGATTCAACCTGAAGCAGCCAATTGGCATTGCTTTGTTAAACTCTGGTGTCTCCACATGGCTCTTTGAGCTATGGCTGCCATGTTTTCTTAACTTTGGCCCCCTGCCCTATCTCCTCTCTTTCTCTCTAATTTACTTTCTAAATAAACTATATTTTCCAATCTAAAAAAATAAGAAATAGTCAAGCACAGTGGCTCACACCTGTAATCCCAGCACTTTGGAAGGCAAAGGCAAGAGGATTGCTTGAGTCCAGGGGTTTGAGACCAGCCTGGGCAACATGGCGGGACCTCATCTCTACAATACAACAAAAAATTAATCCGGCATGGTGGTGTGCTCCTGTGGTTCCAGCTACATGAAAGGGTGAGGTGGAAGGATCGTCTGAATACAGCAGATCAAGGCTGTGGTGACTGTGGTGACTGTGTGCCACTGCACTCTAGCCTGGATGACAGAGACTCCAAATAAATAAATAAAAGCGAGAAATAAACCTATATTCTGCTTAAGCTACTATTTTGGGGGATCTTGGTAAAATATAGCCATACCAAACATCTGTAATAATACAGGAATTGAAATTTTAACTATAAGAAGAGTAGATAGATATGGTAAATTGAGATTCACCATCTATTTCATTTTTCTTCTAGTGTCCTCTCATAGCGTAGATGCTAGGAATACTCAAACAAAAACGTACCAAAACTCTTACATTTTGTAGATCTCTTGAAACTAGAGTTCAGAATTTAAATATGGATGATCAGATGTGCTTGCACAAAATTTGGAAGCCACAGATAAGGTAGAATTCTCATTTTTGCTGCTTCTACTATTTCTGCTGACATCATAATTTGGATCACTTATTCTCTTTTCTTTCTTTTTCTCACAGCAGCAGAAGTACTCTTAGGTATTCACCAACTTTATAACTTTATAGGTGTTGAGAGTTCAGTCTTTTTGCTGATCCTGGTTGGAGCAGTTCAGAGATTGTTCTGAAGCTACATAGGAGAAACGCCACCTGACTGTGGTGTTTTCCTGACTGTGCCAGTGACACCTTGGTTCTAGAATTAGTGTCTTCTCCACCATGAAGAAAGCAGTGTGTCCTTGGATGTGTGTTCAATGGTGTATGTGGCTTAGAAATTTGCTTCTGAAAGTTCAATCTAAAATTTGTTTATTTAATCCTCTCAACAGTTCTGTAAACTCTTTATACACTGTAATAAATTCTTATCTGTTAACTACTTAGAGACAAGTATGCTTTCTACTAACAGAGTCCAACACCCAAATAATTTGAATGATTGAACTGCCACTGAGATGAAAGGATGTTTTTAGGTGAAAAACCAAGCTTTTTATTTGTATATGTTAAGTTTGAAATTCCATTAAACTTTTGAGCAGGAACATAAATTAGGCAGTTTGGGTTGGAAATATGAAATCTGAAGTATACTTAGAGCCATGAGATATGGATGAAATCATTGACAGAGAGTATATCAACAAATGAGACACAATTCACTGACTGAGCCCTGGAACTCTCCAAAGTTTAGAGATAGGGATGAGGTGTGAGGGGGGTAGATGAGGAAGAACCAGAAAAAGAGTGAAATGACGTAAGTGGAAAACAAGAAGAATGGTGTCCTAGAAGCCAAGTGAAGAAAATATTTGAGGTGAGTGGACTGCCTGAGCCCGTGGGTTCGAGACCCGTCTGGGCAACTTGGCGAGACTTCATCTCTACAAAAAAAAAAAAAAAAATGAGCCGGGTGTGGCAGTGCATGCCTGTAGTTCCAGCTACTTGGAAGGCTGAGGCGGAAAGATCGCCGGAGCCCAGCAGGTCGAGGCTGCGGGGACCGGGAGCGGCCACTGCACTCCAGTCTGGGCGACAGAGTGAGACTCCAACTCAAAAAAAAAAAAGAAAAGATTTTAAGGAAAGGCCAAGATCAGTCATGTCAAATGTACATGTCAAGAAAATGAGGACCAAGATGTGGTGACTGATTTACCAAAGCAAGTCTAAAATTATTAGCTATGTAAATAGAATTAGGCTAAAATTAACTAAGTATAAATTTGGTGATCAGAAATCATTTCTTAAAACACCTTATCAGTGTTTAAGGTACAATATTCATAAAGAAGAAACAAGTGTGTAGCACTCAGTAGAATAAAAAAATAAGTGTGAAAGACTCTGGAGGAATGGTTAAAAACCTAAACAAGTAGCACACAGATGACACCATCATTATTAAAATAGCACAATGATGGTAATCAGAATTTAAGGGGAAAAAGACAGGCACAAGGCCATAGCCCTACTTCAGTAATTGTTTCAATTGTGTACATTCCATTTAGATCTAAAAAAGAAAGGTAAACCTGATTATGTCATCAACCTGCTTTAAAATGTGTCCTTGTACAAAGGGCACCTGATCCTAAACCAAGGGAAGTGAGGGCTAGTTGGAGGCCCAAACTTCTCCTGTAGGTAGACTACTTACTTATTACTTAATCCTGATTTGTACCCAACATCTCAATAATAAAATAAAGAGAGAAAAAAAAAAGGAAGGAAGAAAAAAATGTGTACTTGTTTTCAGGACAAAGTTAAACTTCCTAGCAGAATACATGTAGCCCAAAATGGTTTGACTCCGACCTGCCTCTTCTGCCTCATCTCCCTGCTCCAGTTCCATCATACCAGGAAGACAAAGCTACCCAGAACTTCTTGAAGAAGCCATGCTTCCTCTCATTTCTGTACTTTCTTCTTGTTCCACTATTTACCTGCACAAAGTTTCCCATTCCTCTAGACTCAGTGTATCCTCCTCTTAGCCTTTTCTTGTTATTTTTTATCATCTTATCTCAGGGCTTGGGCTTATCTCATCCCATGTCTTAGCAGATCACACTAATGACATCTCTAGAATCATAGCACTCATCACTAAGTCATTAGCCTCCTTCTATTGTGGACAGTAATATGTGAACAAGAGCCATGACAACATTTATTTCTTTCTTTAAGACCTACAGTAAGCTGTGCGCAGTGGGCTCACGCCTGTAATCCCAGCATGTTGGGAGGCGGAGGAGAGAGAATTACCTGAGCCAAGGGGTTCAAGACCAACCTGGACAACTTGGCGAGACCTCATCTCCACAATAAATCAAAAAATTAGCCGGGCTTGGTGGCACATGCCTGTAGTTCCAGCTACTTGAAAGACTGAGGTGAAAGGATCACCTGAGCCCCGCAGGTTGAGGCTGCGGTAGTTTGTGAGTGTGCCACTGCACTCCAGCCTGGGCAGCAGAATGAGACGCCAACTCAAAAAGAAAAAAAAAAGAGACCTACAGTAGTGCCTTCTTCCACAGTATACACAAGACGCTCAATGACTCTGCCAGTGAATGAATAAACAAATAAGGATCATTGCGTGGTTTAGAGTCTTTCTCGTTTTACTAGTATTGAGGTCATTTTCTTTCTCATTTTACTTACTTTTATTTTATTTTACTTACTTCATAACATCTTCAATCAGATCTGTTTATTTTTAAATGCTTAAAGAATTACTAAGTCTGAATAAAACAAACTATCAGAATTAAAACACTCCCAACCAAAAGAATGCCAACCTACTTGTTGAAGAAGCAAAGGGAAAGGGCCCAAGGAATTCTCTTGCATTGAACAAGGAATGGGTGCCCATCTCCTCTTGGCACGCCTGAGAACAGGCTCTTTAGCATGTCTTTTCTTCAATACCTGAATTTAGAAGAAGAAAAAAATAAGTAAGCAAAAGTACCACCGTCCAATGTGTTGTAAAAGAGTGGACGCCCCATAAACCTAATGTTTCTCTGGAGGGTCAGTCTCGAGCATTTCCATGCTGAAGATGTTAGTTAATAAGGTTTTTTGCACTAGAAAGGTAAGAAAGAATATGTCCAGGTTGTAAAGCTTTCATGAACTACAGGATTTGCTTTTGTATATCTTCCCAAACACTGACTATACTTTCAGGTTTGGAAAATTATCACTATATTTTTAGTCCTTCTTGCTCTGCCCCAAACAGGAGACAGAGAACACATCCTTTCTATAACAATCGCCAGTCAATACTTACCTGTGCTTTTAGTTAAAGCTTCATACTCTGAGGTGAACTAGATAAATAAAATCCAAGTGCTTCAATGCCTTAGCGCTTGATCACCTGTCCAATATGGTAACCACTAGCCACCACTATGTGATTATTTAAATTTCAATTAATTGGAATTAAATAAATTAAGAAATTTTGTCCTTCAGTTGTGCTAGCCACATGCCAGGTGCTCCATAGTCATTAATATGGGCTACAATCTCAGACCGTGCAGATTATGGAACTTTCTTTCACTGTAGAAAGTTCTCTTGGGCTTTTTAGTGATGTCTATCTCATTTCATGATGTAACAAGGGAAGCATTTTATTTAATGAGAACTAATCAATTGATTAATAGTTATAGTAAACATTTAGCAAAGTGCCAAGCAGTCATTTAGATTAGCTTTATCATTAATACAGTTAACATAGATTAGGTGTAATCCAGTCTAAACATTTCATAATTTTGTGACTACTTTTATCATGGCTTTCCTCATGATACATTGTTTGCACTAGTAAAAAGTTCTGAATGCTCTAATAGAGGTATAACCAAGCACAAAAGCTATTAGTTAGAATTTAGAGGTGAAAGAAGCCTTCACAGAGGAAGTATCATTTAGATTAACAAAGAAAAAACAGACAATGTTTAACAAGCATTAAGAAAGAGAGGGAGAGAAGAAAGGGAAAGAGAGTGGGAGGATGGGACAAGGATGGGAGGAAGGAGAGGGGAATGGATGGGGGAGAAAAGGGAAAAGGAGGAAAAATATCTTATTTATTCTCTGGTCCTCTTTTGTAGTTTTTAATGAATATTTTACTGAAAAGAAAAACGTCTTGAAAAGATTTAATGTACTCTGAATACCTTCTTCTGATGTTCCAAGAGCACAGTCATCTCTTTCTGCATCTGTTTCCTTGTGTCCAAAAGCCATATGGTGAATGATCTTTTCTCACCAGACAACACAACAGCACTGGTTGTGTACACTGACCCATCATCTAGAACTCTGAAATTAGGATCACTTGACAGGATGAGGTCTGCAGATCCAAGGCATTCTTTCAAATTAGCTATAAGTAAACATTTCCAAGTTTTAAGGTAGAAACGAATATGAAAATAAAATAAAATAAATAGTGTTAGCCAGGCATGGTAGCTCATGCTTGTAATTCTAGCACTTTGGAAGGCAGAGATGAGAGAACTGCCTGAGTTCGGGGGTTCAAGACCACCTTGGGCAATTTGTCTTGACAATAAATTTAAAAAAAAAAAAAATTAGCCAGGCATGATGGTGCACACCTGTGGTTCCAGCTACTTGGAAGGCTGAGACAAAAGGATCACCTGAACTCAGAAGGTCAAGGCTGTGGTGGCCATGAGTGTGCGACTGCACTCCAGCCTGGATGACAGAGTGAGAATCCAACTCAAAAAGCAAACAAACAAAAAATAGTGTTAAAATAATTTAATCTTCTTCAAAATCATGAAGTGGAATAAAATAAACCAATCACCTTGCATTTACCAAGTTTCTTAACCTTTCTTTCAACATTATTAAACAATGATGATTATCATTTAGTTAAAAATAATAAGTATTGATTGTATATTTCTATTAAGTAAGGTGTTTTAAACCTTTGTATGCTTCTTAACAGGCTTATGAAAATGATCTTCCAATTTAAGAAGTGGGCACATTACAATCTTTATAAGGCTGAGCTACACACACCTGAATAAACAAATAGAAAAGTTTTTTTTTTTCTAACAACATAGTCTGAGTTTTTAAAGATATATCTAAAATAAGCCAGAAGTTATGAGCCCAAGAGCGAAGGAGTGTGTAAGCTATGCAGTCAAGTAAGAAAAACCCAGTCTTTGAATTCTTCCCACTGGTGTTTCTGTCCACTTTCCTCAGTCCTCCACAAACCCAAGATCTCCTTCTAAGCTTTCCTGGACCTCCCCATGAAAACTTGTCGTGGGCTCTTCTCTCCCTGGGAATTTTGCCGTTTGATAAAAAGTAACAAAATCTTCATAAGTATCAAAATGTACTCCGGTTCATCCCATTCTTTAACTATTTGCTTTAACAGAAACCAAACTGATAAATTAAGACTCAGTAAGTAATAACATCCCAAAGGATGTGCTGCCCACTATGGTATTTTCACTTTAATCCAAATCTGTCGCAGGTAGAAATGTTGAGCCACAAAGAAGTGGACATCTTTCTGTAGGGCTGATGACATATTTCTCTCCTCTTCACATTTTTAGCAGAATGATAACTTCTGACTTATTCCCCTATAGGAACACCCTTCACTTCTCCTCACATTCTTTCCTTTTTTCCTCCACACATGAAGAAAAAGGACACTTGAACTCGAAATGGAACACTTCGTTGAGAGTTTGTTTGGTATCTCTGGGACAAGTTACACCTCTTTCCCTGTACCTACATGGAAAGACCACCTGGGTGGAGCTTTCCTGCTGTTGGGAAAGCCTAAGGGTCCCCAGTTCCTCAATATTCAATGTGCAAAGGGTTGATTAAGTTCATTGATAAAAAACAGAACATTATATATGAGAAGGACCCCAAAAACCTGGAATTTATTTACAAAAAGTTTTGTATTTATTCCTACATGTTTAAACTTCAGTCACTTTCAAGGTACTCTCCTTTTGATGCAATTCACCTATCAAGACACTTTTTCCACTGTTCAAAACAGTTTTTGAAATCATCAATATTGATGCCATTTAGAGCTTCTGCTGTTTTGTTGTTGTTGTTGTTGTTTTACCCCTTCCACACTGGCAAAACGATTCCCTTTGAGGACTTTTTTCTTCAGGGAAAATAAAAATAAGTCACTCAAGGTGAGATAGGGTGAATAGGGAGGGTACAGCATGGGTGCCATGCTGTTTTGGATCAAAAACTGCTGAACACTCAGTGTGATGTGAGCAGCTTGTAAGTCAGCCATCATGAAACAGGCAAGTGTATTGAAAGACTCTAAAAAAAAAAAAAAAAAAAATTCACTGAAGCCTGACGCAGCCCCTCACAACAGTGCTAGCTGGTACACTGATGCCAACGGGCTCCTAGAACACTTACCAAGGGGGAAGCCTGTACTAAAAGGGGCCCACTCTCCAAAAAATAACTTGGGGTTTTTTGGGGTACCCCCTCATATATACACATATAATCCTTAGAACCCTAGAGTAATGAAAGTGACATGTTCTATTTACAATGGTTTATATATGTTTTGTATATATTTATATGTAATGATTTCTGCAATTTTTAAACTTTTAAAACATAAATGACTACAAAAAATATAAATTAGAACATATGTGCTAGAATCAACTACAGAATTCAATGGAGTTATAATACAAAGAGCAGAAACATATTTATAACTGTCTTGAATCATGTATACTTATAAATAGATTGAGACTAACTCCAAAAGGCAAAGATGTCTCCCAGCCTAGGTAAATTGCATGTATATTTTTAAAAGACTGTTTTGAAATTTCTTACCTCTGCCAATCATTTTGTCTGCCTCTAGTTTAGAAGGCACATTAATTATCACCCTTTTGCAGGCTTCACCAGCAAGACTGAAGATCTAGAATAAAAGGTCACATTAATACAATATAGAATAAAGACTTTTTTTAAAACCACATAATCGGACCACCGCCATCCCGGGTTGCATGCACGCTCCTGGAAAGGCCTGTCCCAGTCAGCACTGCCCTATTCCCACAGCGTCCCCACTTGGCTGAAGTTGATGTCAGATGACTTGAAGGAGCAGATTTACAAACTGACCAAGAAAGGCCTGACCCCTTCACAGACAGGTGTAACCCTGAGGGACTCCCGTGGTGTCACAAACCCTTGGTGACAGGCAATAAAATCTTGAGACTCCTTAAGTCTAAAGGACTTGTGCCTGATCTTCCTGAGGATTTCTATCATTTGATTAAGAAAGTAGCTACTGTTCGACAGCATCTTGAGAAGAACAGAAAGGGTAAGGATACTAAACTCCGCCTGATTCTGACAGAGAATTAAATGTACCAGTTGGTTCGATATGACAAGACCCAGTGATTCCTCCCTTCCAATTGGAAATAGGAGTCACCCACAGCCTCTGGCCAGGTTGCAGCAATTTGTTTATGTACTCAAGCAATAAAAGGATTGCTTAACTGAAAATAAATAAATAGAAACCACATAATCATCTCAGCAGATGTAAAGCAAGCAATTGACAAAGTCCAGCGCCCATTTATGATAAATCCTCAACAAACTAGGAATGAGAGAACTTGCTCAACATGAAAAAGGTCATCTCTGAAAAACTTACAACTAGCTTCAAGCTTAATAAAGAAAGACTGATGCTTTCCTCCAATATCAGGAGCAAGACAGTGGTGCCTGCTCTCACCATTTCTATTTAACATTGTACTGGAGTATCTAGCCAGGAAATTTACACAAGAAAAAAAAATTAAGTCTATGGCCTCCATCTGCATCCATGTTGCTGCAAAGGACATGATTTCATCCTGCACATGTACACCTGAATCTAAACTTTAAAAATATTAAGATTAGATTGAAAGCATCCAGATTGGGAAGAAAAAGTGAAACTGTCTTTATTCACAGATGACAGGAACTTATACATAGGAATTCCTAAGGAATCTACTAAAAAACTATCAGAATGTGCTGGGCGCAGTGGCTCACCCCTATAATCCCAGCACTTTGGGAGGCTAAGGTGAGAGAACTGCCTGAGCCCATGGGTTCAAGACCAGCCTGGGTAACTTGGCGAGATCTCATCTTTACAATAAATCAAAAAATTAGCTGGATGTGGTGGTACGTGCCTATAGTTCCAGCTACTTGGAAGGTTGAGGTGGAAGGATCACCTGAGCCCAGCAGGTCAAGGCTGCAGTGACTGTGAGTGTGCCACTGTACTCCAACCTGGGTGACAGAGTGAGACGCCAACTCAAAACAAAAACAAAAACAAAAACTGTCAGAATGAATAAATGAGTTCAGCAAGGATATAGAACACAAAGTGAACATATGAAACCTGACTGCATTCCTTTACATTGGCAATGAAAAATCTGAAAACAAAACTAAGCAAATCCTGTGTACAATAATACAAAGAACACAACACTTGGGAGTACATTTGGTTAAAGAAATACAAGATTGCCGAGCTCGGTGGCTCAGCCTGTAATCCCGCGCCTTTGGGAGGCTGAGGTGAGTGGATTGCCTGAGCCCGCGGGTTCGAGACCCAACTGGGCAGGCGAGACCTCATCTCTACAATAAAATCAAAAAATTAGCCAGGCGTGGTAGTGTGCACCTGTAATTCCGGCTACTTGGAAGGCTGAGGCGGAAGGATTGCTGGAGTCCAGCAGGCGAGGCTGCGGTGGCCGGGAGCGGCCACTGCACTCCAGTCTGGGCGACAGAGTGAGACTCCAACTCAAAAAAAAAAAAAAAAAAAGAAAAAGAAATACAAGATTGTGCAATAAAAACCATAAAAAGAATTGCTGAAAGAAAATTTAAATTACCCATATAAAGAGGTTCTATCTTTATGCATCAGAATAGATTCCCCCAAATTCATCTACAAACTCAATACAATATCAAAATCCCAGCTTACTTTTTAAAATAAATTTAAAATTAATCCAGTGAAATGCAAAAGAGCCGGACTTGGTGACTCAGCCTATAATCCCAGCACTTTGGGTGGCCAAGGCGAGTGGATTGCCTGAGTCCGCAGGTTCGAGACCAGCCCAGGCAACTTGGCAAGACCTCATCTCTACAATAAATCAAAAATTAGCCGCACACAGTAGCGTGCACCTGTAGTTCTGACTACTTGGAAACCTGAGGCGGAAGGATCACGGGAGCCCAGCAGGTCAATGCTGGGGTGGCCGTGAGTGTGCCACTGGGCAACGGAGTATGACTCCAATTCAAAAACAAAAACAAAAAAGATTAAAAAAAGAAAGAAAGAAATGCAAAAAACCCAAATAAAAAAAACCAAATAAATTTTAAAAAGTTGGAGTGGAGGACTTGCTGGAGTTGGAGGACTTACTCCCAATTTCAAAATTTACTGCAAAGCTACAATAATCAAAACAGAGTGGAAATGGCATAAGGATAACTATATAAATGAAAGGAATAGAACCAAAATTCCAGAAATAAGTCTTCAAGTATATGGTTAGTTTCCAGAAAGTTCAAGAGAAATAAATAGTCTTTTCAAACAAATGGTCCTGGGATGATTCGATATCCTCAGGCAAAAAAGTAAATTTGGATCCCTAACTCACACCATACGCAAAAATTAACTTGAAATGAACTACAGACATAAATGTAGGAACGGAAACTATTTAGAGCAAATCTTCATGGTCTTGGGTTGGGCAATGATGTCATATATATAACACTATAAACAATGATAAAGAAAAATTGATAAACAGGACTTTAAAAGCATTTGCTTTACAAAAAAGACCATAGAGTGAAAAAAGAACTCACAGGATGGGAGAAAATATTTTCAAACTATAGCAGTAAAGGACGTGTATCCAAAATATATGAAGACTTCCTACAATTCAATACTAAAAAGAACACAAAAAATATGGCAAAGGATTTGAAAAAATATTATCCAGAAAAGATTGAAACATGGCCAATAAGCGGATAAAAAGATGCCCAACATCATTAAGCATTAAGGAAATGCAAATACAAACCACAATAAGATGCCTACTCACTAGAATGGATAAGATAAATAAGAGAGAAAATAAAAGGTATTAAAGAGGATGGGGAAAAACTAAAACCCTTATGTACTGCTGGAAAGAAATGTAAAAAGGGTGAGATACTTTGGAAACAACTTGGTTGTTTTTTCAAAAAGTTAAACATATACTTAACATATGATACAATTTACTCTGCCTAAAAGATACAGACAAAAACACATATATGAAATTCATAGTACAAAACATTATTCACAGTAGCTAAAAAGTGGAAACAACCTACATGTGCATTAACTGTTAAGCAGATCAACAAAATGTGGTATATTCACACAACGGAATGTTATTCAGCTCTAAAAATTACTTTGTTAACCACTGATACATGCTACAACATGGATAAACCCAGAAAACATCCTACTCAGCGAAGGAAACAGGACACAAAACTGCACATATTGTATTATTTCATTTATATGAAATCTCCAAAACAGGCAAATACATAGGGATGGAGTAAATTAGTGGTTACCTAGGGCTGGGGGTCAATATGAGAAGTGGTAATTGGGTATAAGGCTTTTTTTGAGGTGATAAAAAGGTTTTAAAATTGGATTGTGATGATGACTGCATATTCTGCAAATTTGCTAACATTCATTGAATTGTATGCTTAACAAGGGAGAATCCTTTGGAATTTAAATTATATCTCAATTATATCATATTGCCATTGATAGAAAAATGATTCTATTCACCACGACAAATTGATAATGAGAGGCTGTGCCAAACTTATAAATTTACATTTGTAATTTCAGTAAAATAAAATACAAAACAAAATAATAACCACAAAGAAGTATTTAATTTCCTTTTTTTTCTTTTGAGTCGAAGTTTCACTCTGTTGCCCAGGCTGGAATGCATTGGCACACTCACAGCCACCATGGCCTCAACCTGCTGGGCTCAGGTGATCTTTCCGCCTCAGTCTCCCAAGTAGCTAGAACCACAGGCATGCACCACCACACTTGGCTTATTTTTTTTTTCTTGATTTATTGTAGAGATGAGGTCCTGCTAAGTTGCCCAGGCTGGTCTCAAACCCCCCGGGCTTAGGCAGTTCCAAAGTACTGAGACTACAGGTATGAACTACCATGCCTGGCCTAAAATATTTTAACTTATGGTAACATAACTGTAAATATATGGATGGCATATGTAAATACATGCATAATCAAAATTCTTCTAATACACACTCTAAAGGTTCTTGTCCTTCTCAAATGTCTCCCTTACCCTTGCTTAAATTAATTAGAATAAAAGAAAATACCTTAAAATATGGACAAATAGGGTCAATGTGCAATAGTGTTGTTAATTATATATAAAAAGCCAAAAAGTCATTTTCAGAAGATCATAACCAGACAGCAAACAGAGACAATGAAGTAATAAGGTGTTGGTATATTAGTAAAAAATATATATATATATTCTCAATTTAATATTGTCCTTAAATGTATAGTTGCCAATTTGGGATGAGAAATAGTTTTCTTCAACAATGCAGCCACTGGTTCAAATACATTTTAACTCTGTAGTTGGTATTTTTGAATTCCAAAAGGAAATCATGTTCAATTTATATATTTAACCACAACTCTTAAAAATATTTTAAATTAACTGTAAAACATTTAAACCCTTTAAAAAATGTAACTACGAACCGGGCTCGGTGGCTCAGCCTGTAATCCCGCGTTTTGGGAGGCTGAAGTGAGCGGATTGCCTGAGTCTGAGGGTTCGAGACTCGCCTGGGCAACATGGCGAGACCTCATCTCTACAATAATTCAAGATCAGCTGGTTGTGGCAACACTCGCCTGTAGTTCCAGCTACTCGGAAGGCTGAGGCAGAAGGATCGCCGTAGCACAGCAGGTCGAGGCTGTAGTGGCCGGGAGCAGCCACTGCACTCCAGTCTGGGAGACAGAGT